CCCCCCCCCCCCCTCAGCCCCCTGTCTGTCTGCTTGGGTGAGTGGCTTCCGCCACCAGTGGTGATGTGCGGGGTTAAAGCTGGGGGGCAGGGCAGCCCTGGAAGGGAGGCAGCAAGCTCTGCTGCTCCCATGCCAGTCCACGACACAAAAAAGGTTGGGAACCACTGTTCCATTGTAAAGGAAGACCACAACAGGTCTAAACATTGTTGACACTATGGATTCCTATTTTAAATCTCTGTGTTTATCTTGTAAATCGTGTGCAGGGATGTCTTCCTTCCCCCTGCCTTCTCCCATCAATGCTAATGCACAGTACCCTGAAAAGGATCTCATGGTTGAGATTGACTGCTATACATGAGGTTTGCCATGGTGCTGAACTGATGTTGCACAATCACCCAATGTGATGGTATATTAATAGGTTTTGATGAGTCCATGGTTGTCATGACTTAGATTTCACAATGTAGGACTTTGTCTTGTCAAAGGACCCATCAGTAGGGACCTACCGAAATCTAGGAGGTAGGTGGGCAATTCTGCGGGTCAATTGTGATGCGTGCCACCATTTTCATGGTTTTTTGCAGTGAGGCCCCTCACACCGCTGATTGTCAAGGGGCCCTGGCAATGGCCCTGCCCCTCACCACTGATTGCCCGAATGGGTTGCCATTCGTGTGGTTTCACCCCTTAGTGCTGATTGGCGGAGAAGGCAGGGTTGCATGATGGGCAGCCCACCTAGCCAATCAGCAGTGGAAGGAATGCCGCTTTTTGTGAAAACCACCTCAAATAGCGGTTTCTGTGAAAAATGCAAAATCGTGATTTGAGTAGGTCCCTACCCATCACTAACTTTTTACTAGGAAACTTTCAAAAATGCAAAAGGTAGTTGGCTACCCAGCTGCCACTGAATTTCAGCTGAAGTTAAATGGCTAGTTTCCTTTTATGCCTTTTGAAAAATGTCGTCTTTAGTATCCTTAGTTTAAATTTGAAGTTGGTAGCAATTGCTAAAGGTGCTTCAGCCCTTCTTGTTGCTAAGAATTGGTTTGACAGGTGCTACCCTGTACTGCTTGCACATTAATTTTAGTCATGCAGTTATATCAGAAACTTTTGTTAGTAGTCATTTCCCTGATTATTTCACATGCATGGTTCAATGCATACAATAGTTCAGTATGTTTAGCCCAATTATGTCATTATAGTATCGAAATAACTATTCCAGTGGATTGGCTATATAATACATACCTCAGGCAGCCTGATTAATTATCTACTCATTGGTTAGACTTGAACAGCTCCAAATATGCTCTGCAAAATTTTTTTTAGGCAAGGAAGACAGAAGGAATAAGAAGTGTGACTGGGCGTTAGTCCATATTTACCTAACTTCTTGGCTAACAAATACATGTTTTATAACTGCTCTGGAAAGATTTTATCCCACGTGTATGTTTTTTTAACAGGAAATTAAACATTAAATCATTCCCCTCCCCCCTTTTTTATTCACAATGGCATGATTTAAGTATCAGGCATCAGCTAAAGTTTTGTATATCCTGGATTTGGCCAAATTGTCATGAGCTTGCTGTTTGCAGTAGCTGCAATATATATCAACATAGACATGTATAAGGAGACAAATATACATTAAAACTTGCGTAGTTATATAATCGTTTATTAACAAAATTTAAGAATTTGTTTCAACTTGAAGTATAAAAAATATGCTAGAGGCAGTGTTCTGCTGGAAAACTTGTTGAGTGTGTTTCGTTTAGGATTGTTATGCAAACCAGGAAATTGTTAAGAAAGCGGAAACAAGCCTTTAACTATCAGCTGCTTCAGGGAGTCAGCAGGCTGTAGAATCCACAGCTTGGATTGAAAACACAGGGTCTGGGCCAGATTTTCTTTTTTAAAAAGCACATTCAAGTCACAAGCCTTCTTAAATGCACACACACTGTTTGCAGAAACCGACCAGAAAGGACTGTAACTGGAGTAAATATTGATGGCCATAACAGTTAGAAGAACACACTCTGTTTGATTAAAATCTTTATTTTTGCCTTCAAGGAATTAGCTGCAGTAAATTCTGATAGCACATGGATTTTTCTTGCACATGGTAATTAGATGATGTTAAACCTATTTACAAACCATTTAAGTATTCTTTTTATTAACCTGAACATCTTCATTGTGAGGGAGACAAACTAAGTCATAGAAGAAGCTCCCATTTTTTTCCCCAGCTAGCTTTCCCAAGAAAGCTAGGTATTAAATCTTCATGCTAACGTCTTCCAGTATCTCAAATTGAACCACACTTAATGAGGGAACTGTCACGTACTTTCAGATATGACCTGAACCACCGTTCTCAGCACACAGCAGTATAGAAGTTTTGACTCCGAATGGTACTGTGATCTGTTCCAGAGTTTTTACCTTGTTCTCTTACAGCTAGAAAATAGAACAGAAATTGTTTTTTGCAAGAATGTCTTTCATGTATTATCCCAGAGAATGTTATAGTGAGTCAGAACCTGGGGTGCAGTGACTCCGAAGGTTAGCATGTCATACTGGCTGTTACAAATTCAGCTATAGGCAGATAGGGTTTTTTTCTTATTTAATATTAAAATCTGCTCTACTGAGAGAGATTACTGACTGGGACAAGAGGCAGTTTATCCTTTTTTGTCCAAAAATCTCACTGAGCCTATATTTTCCATTCAGATTGTCAGAGGAGACGTGTATTTATACTTGAGTCAAAAGATATTGAAAAAGATAAAATTGCAAGGGAACAAAATTATTATTTTTTATTTAACATAATTGCATTCTACATTTTTCCCCATTTCCTTTCTGATAGTTTAAAAGGAATGCAGGTGCCTTTTTTTGTTTTACCTTTTGCACACCATCAACATAGCAATTAATGAATTGCTTTAGTTGCAAAGCCAGTATAACAACACAGTCGAAACAGTCCTATATAAATAGACAAAAAAAAAACCTAGGTTGTCGTCTAACTAGTACAAACAACAGAGAGAGAACTGTTACACACATTATACACACAAGCTTTGGGTTTGTCCAACTACGGAAAAATAGACCTTTACAAAAGTGAAACTTATTTTGTAATATGAGCTTGTTCCATCTCTGTGAGCCAGCTA